CCTGCAATTTCTATGAAATGTCACTTTTTTCGAATATTGAAAATTTCACATTTGAATATTTCAAACATGGAAATTTCATTTGAAAATTTCAAACGGCACGACCCTATCTATAATGCATTGGCAAACATGTGACGTCATTGGCGCAATTTTTATGCTCTTCTCTGATTGGCTGCGAACTACCAGGCAACCTACATAACCCCATCTAACAACCTTGACCAACAACATGGTATTTCAGCGACCATTTTTTGACATTAACCGAATTTTCGCGACAAACTACTTCCATGATTTCATGAAAACGCTTTCGCGAGAAACTCATGACGTCACATTGAGCCTAGTTTGACGGAAGCATGGACACAGCTTCTAATAGTCAGCGTTCAAACTCATGACGTCACAGATGAACTATGGTTCGTCCTAGGATGAACTACATTCGTCGCGAAAATTTGGTTATTGTCAAACTGATATTTTTAATTTGAATTTTTTATTCATATTTTTGCATTCTATTTATTTTCAAAATCTTACGTGAAATAGTCATAACGAATACCACTCGAGAAAAAATTGCGTAGGCAAAATTGTTCTCAAGGTTTTATTCAAGTTTGTTGCTTTTCGGCAAAATCACTCGCCTGACGGCTCGTGATTTTGTCAAAAATGTCATTCGCGAAATTGCCAAGCAACGAACTTTCACACCTTTCGAAAATTTTACCGGCAAATTTTTTTTCTCTTGTGATGTTATACAGTGTGTATCAGCCAAATGGAATAAATTCGATAATAAATAAATAGAGGCCTTTTCGAAAAAACGCTCGGGCACGTCGAGCTTTTTTTTTTTGCTTAAGATTTTTTTCACTTCTTTTTTTTTATACAGGGTGTTCCAAGAACAGCTGTGCAGTTATCAACTTTATTTTTTTAAATGGTGACCCCTGTATATTATGACATTTTTGGATTCTGCGGAATATTTCTAGACATATTTCATGTACAGGGTGTCCGAATTTGGATGGTTTTAATAGGAAACGTCAATTTCTGAACAAGACACAAAAAAATGAACCCCCCACTCCGAGGCTCAAATTTCTTGAAATTTTGATTGGTGCAAACCGCATTTTGATATCTTCAACCGTTTAGCCGCTAGGGGCGATTCTCGATTTTGAGCAATACAGTGAAATCTTCATAACTTTTTTGTTTATGAAAATAACTGATTTCCGTAAAAACTTCCTAGAAGCACTTTTTCAGGTAGAATTCAGTGACGTTTTCAGTTTTTTCCTATTGGGCCTCGATTTCAAGATATTGACCAAAATCCGATTTTTTTCAAGGGGACATCCTATTTACTAATAGCTCTCTTAAAAGCTCTGCTTTTGCTGATTTCAATGATATAACTTTTGACAGGATTATCTCTTAACAGTTTTGGAAAAAAAAATTATTTCGTTTTTTTCCATAAGAAACAATGTGTTAAGGTCTTTAAATTTGTAAGGAAAATGAGAAAGGTCTCTTTCTAACTCATTGTTTCTTATGACAAAAATCAAAATAGTTTTTTTTCTGGAAAACTGTGAGATAAACCCATCGAAATTTATATCATTGAAATCAGCAAAAGCAGAGCTTTCTAAAGAGCTATTAATATATAGGGTGTCCCATTGAAAAAAAATTGGATTTTGGTCAATATTTTGAAATCGAGGCCCAATAAAAAAAAAACTGAAAACGTTACTGAATTCTACTTAAAAAAGTGCTTCAAGGAGTTTTCACGGAAATCAGTTATTTTCATAAACAAAAAAGTAATGAAGATTTCACAGTATTGCTCAAAATCGAGAATCGCCCTCTAGCGACTAAACGGTTGAAGATATCAAAATGCGGTTTGCACCAATCAAAATTTCAAGAAATTTGAGCCTCGGAGTGGGGGGGTTAATTTTTTTGTATCTTGCTCAGAAATTGACGTTTCCTATTGAAACCATCCAAATTTGGACACCCTGTACAATGTCCTATACTTATCTTGAACTGTTTCGAAAATATTGACAGTTGAAAATCGACTTTTTTGCATGACTGTAAAACCTAAATGGTTGATTTTACAGCAAAACCTATCATACATTCTTGTCTTAGTTTTTCACAATAGTACATTAAAATACAAGTTTCATAAGACGTCATTTTATCGCACGAGCCCTATATTAGAAAACGAGCCGGAGGCGAGTTTTCTAAAGGGCGAGTGCGATAAAATGTCTTATGAAACGAATATTTTATACTATTTTTTCTATTTTGGTATTGTTTAATTAAAAAAACAAATTTTTCTTGGAAATTTTATTCTCATATTTCCTGATTTCATAGTTTAGGTTGGTAACACTACATTTCAAATATAGAAATCTTCTATTATAAAATAGCGAATGACAGTTTGATGGCCATCAGGCAGTCAGTGTCACCAACCTCCGATAAGTAAAAAAGGAGTGTCACAAAGAGCTTCTTTTCGAAACTACTTTTAGTGTCGAAAAGACTTCGATATGACACCAAAATAGAAAAACTATCATTTGACACCAAATTTGAATTTAATCCCTGATTAAAAATTCCGTCAGCCGGTCAAAGTTGCAAAAAAATCAATTTTCAACTATCAATATATCCGAAACAGTTGAATATAGGTATATGACATTGTATGTACCGGGTGTCCAAATAAGAAAGGTCGCCGGCTATATCTCAGGAACTATTAGTCCTAGAGCTCCCAAGTAAAATTTTTTTAAAATAGGCCATGAAAAATTGCTGGAAATAGTTTTCAAGTTTGTAAGTTGACCGCTAGGGGGCGTAACGAACACTCAAAAACATAATACTGTGATTATCTTCAAAAAAAGCCCACTTAAGGTATCCTAAAATATGATTATTGAAATCTTGATGAGATTACGAAAAAATTTTGTTAAGGATTTTTTGCTCTAACTCTTCAAATAAGAGGTGGGGGAAGGTTCAAACTTGTCAGGAACAAAAGTTATATAACTTTTTTGTTTTTCAACCGATTTAAATGAATCTGGTGTCATTTGGAAGAGTTTTTTTCTGTTTAATGAAATGCATAATAAAAATGACAAAATTAAATTGTTTTGTTGCTGCTAGGGGGCGCTGTATCTAAAAGTCGACAATTTTCCATTTTTTCTTGGAAATTTCAAATATAATGATGCTTTTTTTATAATTTAGATGGAAAGAGGATGAAAAAATAAGGAAACTGGTGAAAACCGCAAGTCTGAATCTTTATCCTAGCCCAAAATATAAATAAACAAATATTTTCAATAAAAACATTTTCAGAAAAAAACCATCTTGCCTTCCTTTTCGGGATGAAACAAAAAGAATCTTATTTTTTTACGGCGCTATAAAATTAGTAAGAAGAAGAACTAATTGTGTGTCTGAAAGTAGCTACCAATCCACGATATCAAGAATTGAAATTGAATTGAACTATAGTTATTTACATTCCAAGCTGCGAAAGCTTACTTTTAGGTGCGAGGTGTATTTAATACCTCCGAACACCTAAATAGTTACATATTTACATTTCAAGCTGTGAAAGCTTACTTTTAGGTGCGTGTATTCAAATAGCCGAGGCGAAGCAAAGCGCGAACCCCACTTGAAATACTTGATAGTGTGTTATGGAAATGTGAGTGTTTATCTATTACAAAAATTACAGAGAGTACAAAACAAGGCCATAAAAACTATATTCTCGGTAAGCTACTATACAGCTAGTGAAAACATATATGTATAAACAATACCCATTTTTAAAAATTGAAGTATTAAGAACTCTTGAGCAAGCTAAACTTGTGTATAAAATTAAAAATGAACTAATTAAAACTAATATGGAACTACAACTAAATAATGACATAAGTACATAACTATAACATAATAACAAAAAAAAGCTTGATAGCTAAATATTCAAGAACAAAAAAAGCACAGGATTCTCCCATTGCAAGATGTATTCAAACCTACAACAAGTTGTCCGAAACCATATTCGATGGGGATGTAAAAGCAGTGAGTCGTAACCTCAGAACACATTTGAAAAGCAGAGACTGAATAGTGAATATATTAATTTAAATTTTATTATAGAAAATTTTATAATTTTGTTTTCTGTTCATAGAAACTTATACTAAGGCCTCGGTGGCAGTTTCTTTATGGTTACTGATTAAAGGTCTGAAATAAACATTCTTGAAAAAAAAAGGGTAGTTTTTCATATTCGAACGAGATTTGTCAATAGTCAATGGGATTTTGCATGGTTGTTGGAAATTCTGTTAGAATAGTACCTTAAAATAAATACGAAAATCTCGATATTTAGGCTTTTTTTTTGTTAAGGGTAGTTTTTCAAATTTCGACGGGCTTCTAGTCAATGGGATTTTGCACAGGGCTGGGAAAAAGTGTTGTTATAGTGTTCTTTCAATTTCATGGTTAGAGTCGATGTCTACGTATAATGATTTATTGAATTTATTTTGGATTTTAAAAAAATGCTATGCCAATGGTCGTTCGGGTGTTTTCGTTAAATTGGCTGCCAACCTTTGGCTGCTAACTTCACACTATTCTATGCTTCACACCAGTTAATTATTGAAGAATTATTTGACACAATGTAGAAAAGTGATAATTTTACCTCTAGAAAATATACATTTGCTGCTCTAATTTTTTCGAGAAACATTATACTTGGCATTAAGAGGAAATGTTCTCAAACCTTCATATTATTTCTGGCTTTAAATTAATAATTCTCCATAGTCCATACATCGGCACTAAATATCACACACACACACATACTTACTCCAATTGAGAACTTAAACAACAATAATAATTGGGCCCAAAAATGATGACTCACTGCATAAGGAAAATCATAATAATAGAAATTTATTAAATGGAATTTAGCTTGTTACTAAGATTAAATAATTGCTCCAGTTATTATGTCTGTATAAGTTTAGTTATCTCTAAGATAAGAATGCAGTTTACGATATTCAATCTTAAAATTATACTTCAGTAATTTGGAGCATTAGAATAAAAGCGTAACTTTTTTTAATTGAAAAATAACTTACTGTTTCATCAAGAGTATATCATTGGTGCTAACATTCGCTTTGTCGGCTCTTTTGACAGCCAAATCCAACATTTCCAGATCCTTATTAATATTGTTGTTGTTGAACGTTTCAGATGCATTGACCAACGAATGGGACATAGAAGTCCTAGTTGTAATACTTTTCACCTGTGGAACAATTAAATTGGTATTTATTATAAAAAACAATTAATCTCACTTACTTCCAGATCAGTTCCAAGAGCGCTCCCCTCCGAATGCACCGTAGTGGTTGTTGACTCGCTGTTCTGGATAACTTTAAACGGCCCGGAAATTCTTCGGTCGCTCTTTTCTCTGTGACTGAAAGACTTTACCTTGGACGGCGTCTCGGTCAGCATTTGATACTTGATCACATTTCTTTCTCGTTTTAGGAGAGCTTTGCGGTTTTGAGAATCTTGTTTTTGCATTTGTTTTAATCTAGAAAAAATATTGAATATTCTACTCAATGCGACATGTAAAACCAATGTTGTAATTCCAAGATATATGGTGTAACATATTTCCAACAGTTCCAATTGAGAAAAAATAGCGAGTGTAAAGACTACAAATTTTATGTGCAATGATGAGGACCGATCACTTATTGTCAATACGTCTGGAATCGTTTCATCAGGATGCTATTTTATGGAATGAGCTCAATAAGATACTAATATGTATAAAATATAAGATAAGAGTTTTGAAGGAAAAGAGTGATATGAGGCTTCCAGTTTGTGACAATACAGGATTTTTAGTAAGTTTGGGAAACAAGGACACAAACGAACTCTCCACTGCATTGAAAAGTACATGATTCAGTTGAAAATGAAGTCGTAGAAAGGTGAACTTTTGAAAAAATACTGTTGATAAAACAATCTAAGTCAAAATGACAAAAGTGGAAATCAAGTAGATTTTACTAGATAGGTACTCAATAATAAAAAGATAATTTACTTACGAATAAGGTACCATCTTCACCACAACAACATACTGAACCTATTAACATCCGCACAATAATAGTTATGCTACTCATAAAAATCATTACTATAATCAATACCAGACAAAATAGGTTCCCATCAATTGGTAATTTTTATAAAAGTGTTTAAATTAACGACTTATTCAATGAATAGGTATTATCTAGGTGATTAAAAAGCTCATTAAGAGGGCATTAATATTTAGATATTTATGAGGTTTTGCCGATATAAAGACGAGCATATTGTGTTCAGTTTATGCTCTTAAAATCAAAAAAAAAAAAAAAATTAACCACTAATTAACCAATGTTATAAATAATGAATAACAAGATTTACAGTAATTAAGCAGGTGATATGTGCGTTGATAAGATAGCGGAGGGTATGACTTAATCAAAACAAGTATTATTGCATAATTTTCTGATTTTTATGGCACAGTTCAAGATTTCGACTTTTCGCAATCAAAATTAATATTCGGATTTACAGAAAATATTTTTTTTTTATAACTAAAAGGAAAATATAGTCCAATATTTAAGGTAAGGTCCAAACGAAACAAAAAACGACTATATGGATTTAAACAAAAAGTTACTCACTTTTGCATCTCATTTCTCTCTTGCTGATGCTTCAGGATGATACCTCGCTGCTTTTTCTTGATCACAGATGCTTCTGTTAGTTTGCCTGTCTCAATTAGTTGCCTGTAAAACGATATATTTAGGTATTAATTTATAACATAAAATTCTTTATTACTTTTTTTGCATTTCCAGCCAAACTAATTCACCCTTGGTTCGGTCCAATAGGGCCTGTTCGCGTATTTTCACCACTTTTTTCCAGTTTTCTATGCGAGAATCTTCGTCCTTAATCATCTGATCAAACTGGAATAGAACAACCACTAAAAAATTATCCGCAGGCAATAAATAAAAGAAGAAATTCCAACTTACGATGGCCATTAGGCCCGAATGAAAACACTTTATCAATAAATAATTACTTACCATTTTTAATGACATCCCAACAACGCTTCTAAATACAGCATTCTCGTCTGATACAAAATCGCCACCCCTTGGAGATTCTTCGAAATTCGTTTGGGTCATTTTTAGCATAATTGAGCTTGTGTTGTCAGTGTTATCCAGTAAGGTATCCTCTATGTTGACGCTGGTTAAGCCAAAGCCCATATTTGATGCGCCGGTTAGATTTAAACTTTGTTGGTTTTCTTGGATAAGCCTCAATGACTGTTGATTATCAGGAGTATCGGATTCAACTGTTGCGTTTTCGGAGCTTTTTGTTTCACCTAAAACAACGTTATTTTTCTGTGATACAAACAATATTTTACAATATTCATTTTAAAAAAAAATCGGTAGTTTTCCTGACAGTCAAGTTTAGAAAATAATTTTCTTCTTTCCTGGGATTCGGTCGTGCATTAAAACAAATTATTTCTGTGACGTTTCGGTATTTTTATTACCATCTTCAGACATACAATTCTAAAATAAATCTTATCAATTAATTATCTCCAAAACTTTTTTTCGTAACAAAAATCAAAGCGAGTAAAATGACAAAGTACAAAATACAAAGACAATATTACAGGAACATTACATAATTTAATTTAACGGAAACTACTAAAACAATACGACGGAAATTTATTTGTGTTTGAAATTGCTAGCAAAATTAGTTTGGGATGTTTCCTGCTTTTTAATTTTCCGTTTAGTCAATTTTTATATTTTTCCTTCTTTCTTTTTTTTTTTTTTCTCCATTCTTATTCAAAATTCAAAGCAACACTGATATGTATCGTGTAGGTTGGTTGAAATTTTCGTTTATTTTCAGTAAGGATAGATTTTTTTATTATTATTGCCGCATTCCTTTCTTTACATGGTGTCTATTTATTCATGTATACAAGGGGAGCACAATTTATTATGTTTTTAGTTTTGTTTTAATTAGATTTTGGTAAATATCACTTAAATTTTCTGTATCAGATCTAAAATTTATGGCGTTTGGATGTTTTTGAATTTGGATCATTTCCTGAATTCTTCTCTTGTGATAATTACTTTCTTTTGTCAGTATTTTTGCATTTTCGAAGTCAAAATTATGTAGGTTTTGATGTGCGTTGTGTGTTAGTGCTAAGGCTACCATAATATTCTGATAAAAAAACGGGACATTTTTATGAAGCAGATAGTTTCATGTATTTAAGAAAAAATAGCGCCGCAGACGAATTTCTGTTTTTTCGGGACCCCGCCCGTAGATCGAACTCACGGATAATACACACTACTACTACAGACTAGCCTATCCTCATAAGGCCTGTGTAGAACAAATCTGAAGCCCCCTACCCATTGAGATATTATATAAAAGGAGACGCTGTTGCCGTATACGAGTATGCATTGATAACGGGATCATTAGGAGCCCTTTCCAGCACCAATATGGCCGCTGTATCAGGGTTGGATTCAGCTCAAATGTCATATTTGTTTACTTCATATAGCTCAAATATATTTAAAAGTCAGACTCTATTGGTATTTCAATTTTTACATGTATTTAATTGTTTTTATGTGGCCTAAAACTTGTTAAAATTGTTAAAAAATTATACTTCTCAAAACATAACTACATATTAAAACTACAACAAAAAATTGGAAGTCCGATCCTGAATGTTGTTTATACTCACCTATGAAATGATATTCCCGTTGATTTCTTCTTTTCTACGGCAAACCTGCTGCAGCAACTTCTTACTGCACATGAAGACATTATACTTCTCTCATACACAACACAAGCAAGTCGAAAAAACCCCAAAATAAGCAAAAATTGCGTATTACGTCTCGCAATCAGAAATTGAGCATGACAGTTGTAATGTCAGTAGGTAAGTAATGACACAAAACCAGCACTAGTATGGCAGGCCCGCTACCACTTTTTGTCAGGTGACGTCGTCTCCTCCCCTATATACTACCTCAATGCCCCTACCCCACCAAATCACCATCTGTGACGTAGACAGCATGTCGTTTCTCGCCTTGACCTAGACTGTTTGCACCACAGGAATCAACGCTTTTACTTTATGCATACTTGGTTTTACTACATTAATTAACATTTTAAAACAACTATATTTCAGCAAAAAAGTTTTTTCCGGGCTATAATGCCGTGGTCCATTAGTATTTCTACCTAACGTTTCGTCTACTGCTGCGGTAGATATCTTCAGAGGCGGTGTGGTAGAGGACTAAGTGTTCTCTTCCGTGTTTCTCCGATGACTGAATTCGACGTTGAGGGAACTGCGTTATTTATATCCAGGGATGTGGGCGTGGCTTGGATTACGGTATTTTCCTTGTCTCGTTCTCGGAAAGGAAGGGTCTTTGTTTTTCGGAGAACTGGCAACCAGCTTTTATTGAGGTTCATGCCCTCTTCTTTTCTGTTGAAGTTGTTGTGGTGTTTCTGTATCTCTATGGCTTCTCTGTGGAGCCTGGTGTAGAAATGTTTGGTTCTATCCAATGTTTGAGTCTGGTCGAAACGAATGACATGGTTTGTTTGTGTAAGCACGTGTTCGGCGATTGCTGATCTATCTATTTGTCCTTGCTGACAGTTTCTTTTGTGCTCTTTGACCCTGGTGTTGATAGAGCGTTTGGTTGTTCCTACATAGACAGATCCACAAGAGCAGGGAATTCTATAGACGCCAGCCGATTCAAGAGGTGCCCTAGGATCCTTGGCTGATCTTAGACTTTGCTGAATTGTTCTTGTGGGCTTGTAGATAGGCTTAACGTTGTGTCTTTCTAGCGTTCGTCCTATGCGATCTGTGACATTTTTGATATAGGGAAGAAAGGCTCTCCCTGCCACCTGTGCTGGTTCCTTGTTAGTTGTGCGCTGCTGCTTCGGTCTTATGGCTCTATTTATCTCCTGCTTGGAGTACCCATTTCCTTCAAGTGCCGATTTTAGGTGTTGCATCTCGTCCTGAAGGTATCTGGGTTCACAAATCCGGATTGCTCTGTCAGATAGAGTTTTAATGACTCCTCTCTTTTGCCTAGGATGGTGATTAGATTCCTTGTTGAGGTATCTGTCCGTATGTGTCGGCTTCCTGTACACTCTGTGTCCCAGTTTACCTGAGGGTAATCTTTCTAAGAGGACGTCGAGGAATGCAATTTTGTTATCCTTCTCAACTTCCATCGTAAACTGTATCCTGGGTTCTATGGAGTTTAGATGATTAAGGAAGTTTTCGAGCTCTGCCTCTCCATGGTTCCAAACAACAAATGTGTCATCTACATAGCGAAACCAACAAGTAGGTTTCTTTGTAGCCGTTCGTAGTGCCATTTGTTCGAAGTGTTCCATGTAAAAGTTGGCGATAACCGGGCTGAGTGGACTTCCCATTGCGACTCCATCTGTCTGCTCAAAGAATTCATTTTGCCATTGAAAGTACGTAGTCGTCAGACAGTGGTGAAATAAGTTGTTGATTTCTTCCGGAAAAACATCTTTCAGATACTCTAAGGCCTGATTTACTGGTACCTTAGTAAACAATGAGACGACATCAAAACTAACCAGAATGTCGTTTGGTAATAGAGTGATATCACTGATCTTTTTGATGAAATGAGTTGAGTCCTTGACATAAGAGCTGGATTGGCCAATCCGTGGTTGAAGGAGGGTGGTGAGGTATTTGGCTATGCTGTATGTGGGCGAATCTATTGCACTTACAATGGGCCTGAGTGGGTTGCCTGTTTTGTGAATCTTAGGAAGCCCATATATTCTAGGTGGTAAGGCCTCAGATTTGATGAGTTTCCTTATGTTTTCCGGCTCCAACGGTAGTGCTCGGATGAGTTGATTGGTTTTTCGCAATATAGAAGCAGTGGGTTTACGTTTCAGCTTTCTGTAGGTGGAGGGGTCTAGAAGTTCGGAGATTTTCGATTCATAGTCAGTCACGTTCATGATTACCGTTGCGTTTCCTTTATCCGCAGGCAGGACTAGTATGTTCGCGTCTGTATTCAGGCTGCGAATAGCTTTTCTTTCCTCGTATGTCAGGTTGCATTTTGGAGGTTTCGCAAGTCGTAGAATCCTAGAGGTTTCATTGCGTATTTCCTCCGCAGTGGTTTGAGGTAGTGTGCGTATGCTGGCTTCCACATTTGCTATGATGTCTTCGTATGGCAGGTCTTTCGGTGTTATCGCAAAATTGCCTCCTTTTCTCAGAACACTGGTTTCCGAATCAGTCAGAACGCGTTGGGTCAGGTTGACAACTGTGCGATCATAGCCTGTGGGTTTCGTAGTGTTTACTGGCTTCAAGGAGTTCAACTTGTTTACCAGTTTCTTGGTTGTTTTCGCTAGTGTGGCTTCCATCACGTCATACGTCATCCGGTCAACTTTGTCCCAGTCACTCCAGTGCATGCTGTTGGATAACCTTTGGTTTATCGATAGAAGATCCTTGTCCATAGCTGCTAGGTCTTTCCTGGTTTGGTGGATCCGTTCCCGAAGCAAGGCTCGTTCCGCCCGTTCAAAAATTCTGTTAGATTGGAAGGAATTAAAAATTCTTCGAATCTTCAGGAATTTCGGAACGACTTTCGAGTCTCTACATCTTTGGAGAAAAGCAAGGGAGCCTAGAGAATGGGCCTTTTTCTTGCGTAAGTTTTCCAAGCGTCGAATAAGTCGTGGTACTTCCTCCCCGTAGAGGCGTTTGAATAAAGAATGAAGGTTTTCACGGCCGGTCAAATCTAGCAAAAAAGTTTTTTTCCGGGCTATAATGCCGTGGTCCATTAGTATTTCTACCTAACGTTTCGTCTACTGCTGCGGAAGACATCTTCAGAGGCGGTGTGGTAGAGGACGAAGTGTTCTCTTCCGTGTTTCTCCGATGACTGAATTCGACGTTGAGGGAACTGCGTTATTTATATCCAGGGTTGTGGGCGTGGCTTGGATTACGGTATTTTCCTTGTCTCGTTCTCGGAAAGGAAATCAGGCAATTGGTTAATATAACTCATACACTACAGAATATTATATTTTAAATGGTAGTTCCTCGAATTAATCAAAATTAAAAAACAAAATAAAATACTGCACAAAAATAAAAACATAGATATACAGATAACATACAGAAGCAATCTCAGTTAAAGTCAAGACGCATAAATGATAAAAACAAAGTTATATAAAACGAGAAATGGATAGGAGTCACAGTTAAAATTACATAAACATTATCATCTTCCTGATTTGTGACCAGGGAGTAGTTAAAAATATCACAGTTGCAGTAGAAACGGTTGTAGTTAACCACCAATCTGTCGATGAAAGCAGTTTGGCCATAGTTAGTACAATGTCCTTCATAAAACAGTTTATGTTGCCTGGTGCGTCTTAAGG